AGGAACCCTTTTTTGTACATCCGTTTCTAGGCAAATCATTTCAGACTGCTATATCATTGCTTTTCTTAAATCTTTATCCATTTTTAAAGACAACCTTTTCTATACCTTGAGTGTTACAAAGATTTGCTTATTGGATATCACATTTCCTGATGCTTAGCTTTACCAAGATCTCAAAAGGGAGAATTTCATTGAATAAAAGCTGTTGTGTCTGTTGATATTGGCCATTGGGTGAGAACATATTTAGAAACTTTGTAATTTAAAATGGTTGTTCTCCAAAATTTTTTTTGGAACTCTGTATGTTTATTCCTAAAGATCAGTGTTTTAAAAGTGGCTGGCTTCCTAGAGCTAGGCCAGAAAACTAACCTGGTTGGTTTTTTTTTCATTGCATGGCTGAAACACAATGAAAAATATTAGGAAACAATAGTATAACACTTTAGTAACTAAACAAAGCAGAAAAATAGATACAGATTGGTAACCATTCCATCTTTTTGCTAGAAACTAAAAATATCTAGTTTCTCAGAAGTGCAAAGGTAGTCGATATTATTGTGTCCTGTTTTCCTGCATGCTGTGCTGTGCGTGCCATGGGGTGGGAGATGGAAGGTGCAGTTTACTGTTTGCTGTTGTTGCTTTCACACCTAGAGGAAGGAGTCAGGGAGCGGAGGGAGGGTCCAGGTAGGATATGGAGGTGTTAGGGAAGGTGCCCTGGTGTTCGTGAACTGGACCCTGAGGTGTGGCCAACAAAGAAACTCTGAGAGTGCAGCTGGGACTGATAAGATGGGGCTAGAGTGATGAGGAAAGGTGAATGGTGGGTGGCAACATCGGGAACGCTGCGTGCGCTGGGCGCTATTCACATGTTCTCTAGATCTTGTGTCCTAATATGTGTTTCTACATTTAAAATTCGGTTTATGCACTTTTTAAAAAGTTTTATATGTGAATTGAGGGTCTTTGGTTTTCAGAATCTAAGGTAGCAGGTCTGAGGTGAGTTAGAAAGGTTAGAGCACCTGTGCTGGCAGAGCTGCTATGGTGGTTCTGTTTGCTCCCACAGCTCCGTCCTCTGCACTTTCTGCCCTGCTCTGTGCTCTGGAGGGCTGATGGGTGTGGGCTGCGCCCCGGGCTCACATGGACGGGCTCGCACACAGCACGAGACTGTAGGTAGCAGGAGCGAGGTGGAGCTGTTGACTTCCCCACGGCCAGGCAGCAGCATGGCAGTGGCTCAGTGGTGCCTGCAGGTCCTGCGGACAGGCCCTCCCTGTGTTGTTCCCTTCCTGGGCTCTGGGGATGCCATCTCCAGCCCTGCTCCCTCAGGCCTAGGAGCAGTGGTGGCTCCTTGCTGAAGGTGTTCCTTGGCTGTGCCACTCACTTGTTTCCCTGTTCCTGCCCCTCCTTGGCACACATTTAAGCCTCCATTAAACACTCTTCAGCAGACTGATCTGGGTGTTCAATACCTGCTCTTTTCATATAAAAAATGGTGCCTCCCCCTTGAGATACGTTGCTTGCTAATTTTTTGTGCACAATTTTGCTTGTTTTTGGAGCTTTCTCCACTCTTCACCCCATAAACATCTCTTCCAAAATCAGAACTGAGCTGTTTAATCCAGTACCTTCTTATTGCACAGGTGGGACTTTCCTGCCGTCTTTCTCTGCACCTGCTGGTCGTCTGGGCTCAGACGGACGTTCCTTAGGAAGCTCCCACAGGGACTTGCAACTTGGCATCTTGAGAACTGAAAGGAGCGTGTTTTTTTTTTTTCTTCTTACTGCATAGCTGGATGTCCATTTGTATCCATGCCCACACAACCTGCTTTTTCTTCTGTGTTCTCTCTTATGGAGAATGATATACTGTTCATCTATTGCCCCAAGCTGGAAACCTGGCTGTCTTCTTACTGCATAGCTGGATGTCCATTTGTATCCATGCCCACACAACCTGCTTTTTCTTCTATGTTCTCTCTTATGGAGAATGATATACTGTTCATCTATTGCCCCAAGCTGGAAACCTGGCTGTTGAATTGACTCCCCTAGTCTGATCGATTACCCCTCTCAAGTAAAGCCTCTCTTTTGTCCCACGGAGTCAGGCAGACCTTGGTTTGAGTCCTGGCAGACAGCTTGGTGATTTGGGTAGGTTATTTAGGTCTGATCGCCTTTGTTTCTCTCATTTATAGAATAAAGAAAATAAGTCCTGTCATCGGATTATGTGATGATGACAGGAGATACGTATGTAACGTGCTTAGACCCTGTAGGCCATCTTTAAGTGGCAGCTGCTGTTACTAACTGACTCCTTGCTCACACGGAAGAGACATGGGAGCTGGTAAAGAGAGCGTCTCTGGAGGTGGGCTAACTGAGGCGGACTCCTTGGTCCTGTGCTGTGTGAGACTGAGCCTGGGAGGCTCTATGCTGCTCATAAGGGGTCACCAGGGCTACGTGATTGGCATCTATTTGGCTCACTGAATGCACTTCAGCCCCTCATATTTCCCCCCTTCAAATGACTGCAGTTGCCTTGGGTGCTCTCTTGTGTCTTGTTTTGTCCATTGTTACTGG